CCAAGTTAGCGGTATATTCAAAACGTAGACGCTAGTCGGCTGTAATTATACGTCGTAAAGGTAGACGTAGGTCCGGTTTATACTGAAGCAGAAGAAGCGAAACATGTATTCACTTTAAACAAGATTAAAAACGAACGACATTGGTCCCTAAGTATCTGTCTATATTTCTGAGGTATTATGTACACTATTTACATTATTCTGACTATTGTCCTCATCTTTGTCGCCATATTTATTACAACGTTTCGGCCCTTCAGTATTTGTCTATATTTTTGAGATGAGGTATTATGTACACTATTTACATTATTCGGACTATTGTCCTCATCTTCGTCGCCATATTTATTACAACGTTTCAGCCTTTCAGTATCTGTCTATATTTCTGAGATGAGGTATTATGTACCCTATTTACACTATTCGGACTATTGTCCTCATCTTTGTCGCCATATTTATTACAACGTTTCGGCCGTTGTACGCCTTCTTCCTCAAGGACACATGGCACAGTGGATAAAGGCGTTAGTTACAGGACCAAAAGAGTTAAGGCAGTGGAGAAATTAGAGAGGGGAATTAACTGATAAATGACATCCATTGAAACATGGCATGTGGAACTAGAACAGTCTACTCCAGTGAGCGAAAAAAGGGTTTGGTTCGACATTCCAACCACCTGAAGAAGTCTGGAACGTACAACGGCCGAAACGTTGTAATAAATATGGCGACAAAGATGAGGACAATAGTCCGAATAATGTAAATAGCGGACTTGTCCTGTTTAAACTTGAGTAGACATAGGTTCGTTTACACTAGACGAAAGACTATATTTCTGGTTTACACTAGCGTTAAAAAATAGACATTCATCGGATTTAATATTAGAGATAGAAAAAGAGATCGCGGACGGCATGACCCACATGTACTTATGGGGGGCGGGAATGTACTGCAATCGCAATTGTGTTTCTTGGGCAAGATAACCTGACGGAGGCCAACTCTCTTCATGCCAGTTTTTAAACTCAGATTTAATTTCGCCTAGACCGGTTGTCACCAAAGGCTATACAACACAGTCTCTCCTGCTATTTGCCCCTATCTGGCGGGACGGAAGAAGAGGATCCATACCTTTCACGAGCTTACGTAAGTGAATGTAATCGATCCGGCTGGAATTCGAACTCTGCTCTCCGATTCCTTAAATCCGAGCCGCTATCCATTACTCCAGCTCTTCGCTAGATTCCCAAAGAAAAATGTATGTTCGGTGTCGAAAAGTTTACACGAAAATAAAAAAGCGAAAAAACAGCTCCAGCTTACACTTATTTACTTATTTAATATACTTCCTGGTCAAGGAACTCACTTCCGGTCACTTGCTTTACAGCCAACTTTGATCTTTAAAAATGTCAATCGTTATCTACTGTCTTCCTGATTACTCTTCTATTGTTCTCACTCACTTCTCACTTGTGGAACACTCTTCCAATTCCATGCTTTACAGCCAACTTTGATCTTCAAAAATTTAAATGCATTGTCAATCGTTATCTACTGTCTTCCTGATTACTCTTATATTGTTCTCGTTCACTTCTCACTCGTGGAACACTCTTCCAACTCCATGCTTTACAGCCAACTTTGATCTTCAAAAATTTAAATGCAATGTCAATCGTTATCTACTGTCTTCCTGATTACTCTTCTATTGTTCTCGCTCACTTCTCACTTGTGGAACACTCTTCCAATTCCATGCTTTACAGCCAACTTTGATCTTTAAAAATTTAAATGCAATGTCAATCGTTATCTACTGTCTTCCTGATTAATCTTCTATTGTTCTCGCTCACTTCTCACTTGTGGAACACTCTTCCAACTCCATGCTTTACAGCCAACTTTGATCTTCAAAAATTTAAATGCAATGTCAATCGTTATCTACTGTCTTCCTGATTACGCTTCTATTGTTGTTCTCTCACCTGGATAATGTTTACTTTGTCTCATATTCTGAAGAACACCTTTCTTCTTACTGGCTTTAGTGGTTTGGCTGGAGTGAAAATGATTTTAAAAAATATTCGTATAAAATATATTCTTCATGATTTGTTGCTCGTAAATTGCTTCAGGTCACAAATTCGAGTTGTGCAGTGTCGCGGACCAATTGAAAACTCGATGAGAAGATAGGTTTACAAATTACCAGGAACCATCGATTCCATTTCGTTTATCAGTGCAAAAAGATTTGCTAGGAAACTGTATCGACCAGTTTTATTGAATGAATGGCGCATATATGACAAACTTAGCAGATTCGTTTCTATAACGATACCAAATACGCATCCATTTATATTTGAGAGGACAGTTACTGACTATCGGATTTGATAATATATAAGAATCCTTGACAGGAAGATTGGTGGAGCACAGTCTTCCAAGTTTGTATTCACTTCGCACTAAAGCGCTTTGGGAACGTATGCAATCTATCTTCCTATCAACATTGATAGATAAGCTGCAGAGCAGACTGGATTTTTTTAGCCTTGGTTGACAACCTGTCTAGGAGAATAACATCTATGATTTCAAATCGGAGAAATATCAATACGTCATGGGTTTTTATGACAGGGAGAGGTCGATCGATTCTCCTGTCTTCATATTTTCCAGATTTTAATCATTCATTGTCCGTTTTTCCATTAGTGGATATTCGATAACAGACGAGAATTAATTGTATTTTACCACGGCGTAAGAAGATATATTTTATTTTAATCTTTTCTGTGTTTATTTTCGTAAAAACAAATAATCGTCAGCCATAATAAAAATGTCTTAAAATATATTTCATTAGAAAAAAATGGGTTACCAGAAAATAATATTTGATTTTAGAAATTTGGTTTCGATCGGTCAATATATGGATATTGAAGAGAGTGTGGCGGACAATCGAACTAATACAACTCACAGAATTATATATATATATATATATATATATATATATATATATATATATATATATATATATATATATATATATAGTCATCCACAGACAATTTCGCTGTATCACATCTCCTACCTCTTTTCGAAACACGCCAGCAGATCATAGAACTCAATTCAATTTTACTTGAAGAGTAATGCTTGATAGCAGTAGGAGCCGCTGTTTTAACCCCTCCCACTTCCCTAGAGAGCTCAACCGGATTTCCAGTAGAAATATATATATATATATATATAGAATATATATATATATATATATATATATAGTCATCCACAGACAGACTGTTTCGCTGTATCACAGTTCCTCAGTGTGGCTAGACATCCGATTGCTTCAAGTCGGGATATATATATATATATATATATATATATATATATATATATATATATATATACGTTTGATACGTGAAAAAGTTAGTAGATTCCTTCCTATAACGAAATAAGTATCGGTATCGGTTTATATTTGAGACGACAGCTCATGACTATCGGATTTGTTGGTATATAAGAATTCCTGCTAGGAAAATTGGTGCATCACAATCTTCCAAGTTTGTATTTATTTCATACTAAAGCGCTTGGGGAAAGTGTGCTATCCATCTCCCTTGCACCATTTATAGGTGAATTGCAGACAGGGAGAGTGCTGCAGTTTTTTGTGTATATATGTACTATTGAGCCAAACCAAATGACTTGACTCACTTTATAGTCCACGAATAGAAGGTTAACCAATCAGAAGACGTAGAACATTCAATCTGTCGTGTATAAAGGCGTCCATTTTGTTTACTCTATCCGAATGTCTAGTGCCAGATTGTCAGGCGAAGAGGAACAGAAGGAAGAACTACCCTCTGCTACTTTACCGGGATATCCACTGCTAACCTGAACTACGCTTCCCTACTGTCTTCGAAATATTCACTGCTAACCTCTGGATTCTATACTCAAAGACGACCGTCATCATGAACAACAGAGAGGTTGATCGATTATCCTGTCTACATATTTTCTACACTTTAACCTTTTATGGTCCGTTGTTCCATAAGTGGATATTCGATAACAGACGAGATAACAGACGTATTTTAACACAACCTGTAAGCAGATATATTTTATTTCAGTTCTTCTTCTTTATAACTTGCCTGGTATTAAGAGTACGTTTTCCGTAATAATGCATCATAGAAGCATTCTTGTGTCAGAGTAAAGTCAGTTTAGCTGCTATAATAACGTTAAAATGACACTAAATATATTCGTGATGATATGTTGCTCGTAAATCTCATCAGATCTCAAATTTGATTAGTGCAATATCACGGATCATTTGAAGAGAGCTTTAAATTCTCTCCAAACAGTTTTTTCTCTCGCAATTCTCGCATTTAGCGGTTGTGAAACTGTCTTCTGGCTTCTTGCTTTCTCGTCAACACTGACCTTCAAAAATTTAAATGCAATGTCAATCGTTATATTCTGTCTTTGAAATTCCTTTTCTTTTAGGTTTTCTATCATTTCTAATCATTTCTTTTTCTCATATTCTCTAACACTCATTATTCCCTTGAATCATAGTGGCTTTATTGCCTTGCTTGGAGAGAAAATGATTTAAAAAAATGGTCGCCTTATAGCCGAATGGGTGCGTATCACATGGAAGGGTGACTCATGGATGCATGCGGGTATTCGAACCCCGCTAGCGGGGAAGGGGGTTGTGAGTGCAACCTAATCTGACGGTCAATTTTATTAAGAAAAGCTAAACTTTTCAATGAAATCCACAGCCATTTTTCTTGCTTTGAAACGTATGTCAGGTTTGGGGCAAGAATCCAACTAGCTCTAAAAGGTTTTGCATTCAGTAAAATTATTTATAATTCAGTGGAACATGATAAAAACGCCATAGGATGAAATATTTATTGCCAGTGTCTAACTGAAACATCCGTTCTTGATGCGAGCCAAAATATGTCCTAGAAAATATTTGATAATCTTTTTCCATTTCTCAAGCCACTGTGAAAAGGAATCCGTTTTCATTGTTCAGTGAATTCTTTTATAGCTGCAAGAAAAATGAGATTTGTGACGAATGTGGCGGAAATAGTGTCAGTTCCTGTCTTTTAAAAAAATAATCTGGACATTGTGAAAGAATGAAAAGTGTTGTAATTGATGCTGATTTTATGCGTGGGGTGTGGCGTAGTGGGTAACCGTTTGGAAAATGGAATTCTCTCCAATGTTGCTATGTTAACGTAGAACTTATTTTATGTGTCGTGTCCCTTAAGGACTTAGATATTCATGGTCCTCCACATTTTCCTGTCACTTGTACCTCTTAATAAGTTTTGTCTTTTTATTATATCTTCCAAACCTTTTTCTACCATCCATTTACTCAAGGTCAAAAAGTAAGTTACGCGGAGCTTTCTTCTGTTCGTTTTTCCCTGAATCTGTCCTGTGAGTATCAGATTTTCCAAGCCCTCCTTCCTCATTATATGCCCCAGAAATTTCAACTGCCTCTTCCTGATGTTAAGTATGTTACGCGCTGTTTACCTCTGTCCCTATTTCCCTTAATCTATCTATATTATTTTTTCAAAATGTATTACTGGTAATTTTTTTTCAAAAAATATCTTGCTGGTAATATTTTGTTTTTAAATGTATATTGCTGGTAATTTATTTTTTAAATATATTGCTAATAACTTTCCCCCAAAATTTATTGCTCGTATTTTTACTATAAAAAATGTTATTTTTTTATACTTTCGTAGTGATTTGAGCAAGCTTCGGGGTAAACTATTTATTCATAGCTGGGATTCAAATAGGTGACACCAGCCCGTGTCAGGGTGAACCTGGGAATAACAGTAATTAACATTCTTCTTCTTCTTCTTCTTCTTCTTCTTCTTTTTCTTCTTCCTCCTCAGTTTACTTCTTATTCTTTTTCTTCTTCCTCCTCAGTCTACTTCTTCTTCTTTTTCTTCTTCCTCCTCAGTCTACTTCTTCTTCTTTTTCTTCTTCCTCCTCAGTCTACTTCTTCTTCTTTTTCTTCTTCCTCCTCAGTCTACTTCTTCTTCTTCTTCCTCTTCTTCCTCAGTCTACTTCTTCTTCTTTTTCTTCTTCCTCCTCAGTCTACTTCTTCTTCTTTTTCTTCTTCCTCCTCAGTCTACTTCTTCTTCTTTTTCTTCTTATTTCTCAGTCTACTTCTTCTTCCTCTTCTTCCCCAGTCTACTTCTTCTTCTTCTTCTTCCTCCTCAGTCTACTTCTTCTTCTTTTTCTTCTTCCTCCTCAGTCTACTTCTTCTTCTTTTTCTTCTTCCTCCTCAGTCTACTTCTTCTTCTTTTTCTTCTTCCTCCTCAGTCTACTTCTTCTTCTTTTTCTTCTTCCTCCTCAGTCTACTTCTTCTTCTTTTTCTTCTTCCTCCTCAGTCTACTTCTTCTTCTTTTTCTTCTTCCTCCTCAGTCTACTTCTTCTTCTTCTTCCTCTTCTTCCTCAGTCTACTTCTTCTTCTTCTTCTTCCTCCTCAGTCTACTTCTTCTTCTTTTTCTTCTTCCTCCTCAGTCTACTTCTTCTTCTTTTCTTCTTCCTCCTCAGTCTACTTCTTCTTCTTTTTCTTCTTCCTCCTCAGTCTACTTCTTCTTCTTTTTTCTTCTTCCTCCTCAGTCTACTTCTTCTTCTTTTCTTCTTCCTCCTCAGTCTACTTCTTCTTCTTTTCTTCTTCCTCCTCAGTCTACTTCTTCTTCCTCTTCTTCCCCAGTCTACTTCTTCTTCTTCTTCTTCCTCCTCAGTCTACTTCTTCTTCTTTTTCTTCTTCCTCCTCAGTCTACTTCTTCTTCTTTTCTTCTTCCTCCTCAGTCTACTTCTTCTTCTTTTCTTCTTCCTCCTCAGTCTACTTCTTCTTCTTTTTCTTCTTCCTCCTCAGTCTCTTCTTCTTCTTTTCTTCTTCCTCCTCAGTCTACTTCTTCTTCTTCTTCCTCTTCTTCCTCAGTCTACTTCTTCTTCTTTTTCTTCTTCCTCCTCAGTCTACTTCTTCTTCTTTTTCTTCTTCCTCCTCAGTCTACTTCTTCTTCTTTTCTTCTTCTTTTCTCAGTCTACTTCTTCTTCCTCTTCTTCCCCAGTCTACTTCTTCTTCTTCTTCTTCCTCCTCAGTCTACTTCTTCTTCTTTTCTTCTTCCTCCTCAGTCTACTTCTTCTTCTTTTTTCTTCTTCCTCCTCAGTCTACTTCTTCTTCTTTTTCTTCTTCCTCCTCAGTCTACTTCTTCTTCTTTTCTTCTTCCTCCTCAGTCTACTTCTTCTTCTTTTCTTCTTCCTCCTCAGTCTACTTCTTCTTCTTTTTCTTCTTCCTCCTCAGTCTACTTCTTCTTCTTCTTCCTCTTCTTCCTCAGTCTACTTCTTCTTCTTTTTTTTCTTCTTCCTCCTCAGTCTACTTCTTCTTCTTTTCTTCTTCCTCCTCAGTCTACTTCTTCTTCTTTTCTTCTTATTTCTCAGTCTACTTCTTCTTCTTCCTCTTCTTCCCCAGTCTACTTGTTCTTCTTCTTCTTCCTCCTCAGTCTACTTCTTCTTCTTTTTCTTCTTCCTCCTCAGTCTACTTCTTCTTCTTTTTCTTCTTCCTCCTCAGTCTACTTCTTCTTCTTTTTCTTCTTCCTCCTCAGTCTACTTCTTCTTCTTTTTCTTCTTCCTCCTCAGTCTACTTCTTCTTATTATTATTTCTTAGTCTACTTCTTCTTCTTCTTCTTGTATTTCATTCCTATCTCTTTTTTTCCTCCTCATCCTCTCTTCTTCTTCTTCTTCTTCTCCATCATCATCATCATCATCTTCTTCTTTCTAATAGCGATGTAATCTCTCGAAAGTGAGGCCCAATAAACAACGTCATGCTTTTACTGTGTATCGATGAAGACAAAAGCCCATCGGGAATATTATTTGATGGAAAGTTTTTATTTTCGATGGCTTCTATACATCTGACCCGCGAGCGATCTCATTTCTCATCACCTGTAGACGCGTTAAGTTCTCACCTGACGTACATGTCTTTTCGGAATTCACCTTTTCCTGGCATGTCCTTGCTTTTGCTCGAAAAAAAAAAACATAGATAGTTTCCGACCTAGGGAAGGCGAATCCAGATTTGTCAAACCAGATCTCAATCCATGGCCTAATGAAAATCGTCTATTTATACCATTGATAAAAGTGCAAAGAAAAATGGCCGTGTTTCTGTACTGCTCCAGAATGTATCTACTCTATACTGTCAGGTTGGAACATTACAAGAGATCGCTGACATGAAATGGAAGCATTATATTGAATCCATTGCGAAGCCTGCTGCTAGTAAAGTTGGTTCTCTGCGACGTGTCAGACAATTTTCCTGGACGCATTTCATCTTGCACTTTTCTAAGTCGACTCCTAGGATCGTATTTTAGTGGATGCTCGTATCTGAAATAAATGCCTGTTTTTTTATGTTTTCTTTCTTAATATTGAGTATTACGTCTACTGGCTACAGTGCTCGAACCTTGGTCCCACAACTGTAGGATAAGTCACCGCCTGATCCTTATTAAGTTTTCGCGTCTTCCTAGAACGACAGATATATATATATATATATATATATATATATATATATATATATATATATATATATATATATATATATATATATTAATTGATTTAAAATATGGTTTTTCCGCTACACAGTTCTAACCATGTTTCAAAAATGGAAGCTAAAAGCCACGAATTTAATTTTGAAATTAAATTAAAGACATTAGTTCCATTTCATCCTCCAAAATTCGCTTGAGGATATAGGATATATATATATATATATATATATATATATATATATATATATATATATATATATATCCAGGTAAAATGAAAACAAATGGAGTATAATTCGCCTGTCCGTAACATTTAATTTAAAAGTGGGCTCATTACAGAGTACAGTTATATATTATTTATTTTAGGATATTAAAACAAAAACATGTGAAAAATCGCTACACAATTACAATCATTCTTTAACTCTACAAATGTGTCTCTTCGGGCGATGGTTGATGCATCTCTCCATAAGGAAATTGCCTAGGTTTTATATGTTGACACCTAAGTGTCTTGACCTATATTAAGTATTTTTTTTTCGGTGAAGTTGAATTTAGCATAGGTCCCATTCGATTGGTTAATCACGGCAAAGTCACAAGCCTATTTTTTAAAAGTATTCTGCTTTTGGAATTAAATTATAATTCATCGCCGAAGGAGACACATTTATGGTGTCGAAACATAATTGTCCTTATGTAGCGATTTTTAACATGCTTTAACAACGTAAAAAATATATATATATATATATATATATATATATATATATATATATATATATATATATATATATATATATATATATATATATAGAGAGAGAGAGAGAGAGAGAGAGAGATATTCAGGCGGTGTTGTTGGATTAGTTCATTAGAAATTGGGTGGATATTTTTTTATTTGGCGGATTATTTATTAAATATATTCAAGATGTTTCTGCCAGTACTATGTCTTATTGTATTTATGTTTGGTTTTGTGATGGATTCGAGAATTTGTAAGCGTTTTTTTTTTTTCACTTAGAACGTACTGCTCGGAAGACAAGCTTTTTCTTTTTTTGTGAGGGTGAGATTGTTTAAGGTCAGGTGTTACAGTGTTCCGTACACAGGATTGACCACTTTGATCCTGTTGTCAATTCTCTCTCGCAGGTAACATTATTCGAGATGATGCTGCCAAGGTTAGGAATTCACTGACGACTTCTACCGGCTGACGTCCAGTGTTGCTTTTCCGGGCTGACTACATGAGATTTTTTGTCTTTATATATAGTGTTTTAGGCAGCAGATCATTATTTAAACATATACTATTAAATATAACAGACAATGAATGTCTATTATGTCTGTTCATGAGCCGTTCTAATGTCCCTATGATTGCTTTAATTCAAGGTGAAAATAAAGAGAAAAATTGTCCAACATTTGGATATTTTTTATTAAGCTGGTCCTTGGTCTAAGCTATCGGCTCACGTGAGCCATCCACAGATTTTTTATACGCATATTTTAACAAATATATTCACCATCGAAAATAATATTTTGTTATGCTGACATAGAAGATTTCTATGTGATGATAACAGTCGCGATATAGAACATGCAGGTCGTAAGTTCAAGATGCGGTTCTGTGACGTCATAGCACATGAGGGGCCGAAATATTAACAACAGAGCCATATGTCTAGATGCATTGTAATGTGTTGTGACTAGTTTGAGATTTCCTTTCGTAGAATGTGGTTTGCTTTGTTTTAATGTAGATGACTGAATATCTGAAGGCACTTTTTACTGTCTGTATGTGTGAGCATTATTTTATTATCAACTAATATCTGTCTAATATCATGTACATGGTTATGTCTTAGAAATGTTGTTTAATAGAAATAAGCTCAGAAAGGTGACAGGTAAGTCTACGGGAGAGTGTGGTTGTAGTTAAACCAATATATGTAGTGGGTTTATTATTAGTATCAGAGATATAATCTCTGAACGGGCATGTAAATTGATACTACATTGATTTTTTGTAGAGGATTTAGCTGTGTGTTTATTAGAGACTATGAAGTCAATTGTTTTAAATTTTTTATAATATATGATGAGCTTAACTTGTTTATTATTAATAGGCTTAACATTTCTATGTATTATGTTTTTGAATGTTGTATCATCATGTTTATAATTATTATGCATTTGGTTACAATAGTATAAGCTAATAGTGTTAAGTTTATTTTGACGTAGATTATTATTATTATTAATATTATCTATTTTGTTACAGGTTATATTAAGTTTACTGAGATACATATAAATTTGATGATCAATGACGGAATTAGGGAATCTTTTTTAAAAGTTTTTTTTTTTAATGTTATGTAATTCTTTATAGAATACAGTTTTGGAAGACGATATCATTTGTGAGCGTTGGATTATTTTTTTCTATATCGACTGACTGATATCGTTGGGTGCATTCCCTATTATAATTAAGAAGACACCAGTTTATTCTAGACTGTTTCTTATATAGAGAAATAATAAATTTATTTGTACTGGAATCAATAAATACGTGAAAGAATGGATTTGTATTATAAATATTAAGTTGTAATATAAATTTGAGGACGGATTGACTTTCATATTTGTTTATAAATTGTGTAATTTGATCAATATTTTTATCTAAAACGAAAATGTCATCTATGTATCTTACATATATAGGGGGTTCATTAGTGTCATTAAGTATTTTATTTTCGGAATGTGCGCTAAAATAATTAGTAAAAAAGTGGGCTTAAAGGAGATCCCGTCGCAATACCGTTGAGTATAAATATTAGCTAGGGGGTCACGAAAGGGTACTTGAGTGATGAATGCTAATACTATTCTTTTTTTAAATATTGGGTTTGATATTGATGTGTGGGAAAGAAGTGAGATTGTATGCATCACGTATAAGGATGCCAATCGTTTCATTGACTGGGACATGAGCAAATAAATTTTGTAAGTCCAAAGAAACTATTATTTGGTTGTTTGGTTTTACCGGATGAAGAATTTGTATAAATTCATTAGTGGAGTTAATACAATATTTACTTGGGAGGTAGGAAGTAATTAATTGGTTAAAGGTTTTTGAAAGGTACCTTTCATCCACGAATGTGAGAGCATTAAAATAAGATAAATATGCTTAATATGTCTAGATTAAGCATATTCATCTTATTTTAATCTAGATTATTCAACCAAACAGGATTGAATAAAAATATGCAACCTAAATATACATGCATATATATTTATTTTATGAAATGGATAAAATCCAACATATTTTAATTTGTTTTGCTTAAACCTTATTTTAGATTCATACTCATAGTCGAGTAGATGATCTGTACATTTTAATTAAACAGGATTTATTTCGTCTAATTACATCTACCAGATTGAATATTCGAGAAATCTTGTCAGAAAAATCCAGCCGGAAGATGCGTATTTTCTGACTAGATTTCTAGAATATTCCGGCTACTAGATGTAATAAGATAAAAAAAAATAATTAAACTAACAGAACATAAACTCGAATATAATTATCCATCATAAATAACGTTTAAGCAAAACAAATTTATATATATATATATATATATATATATATATATATATATATATATATATATATATATTCGAAAATTATAACATAAATATGTTATAAAATCACTACAAAAATACCCATTTTGTTTCAACACTTCTGGTGTTTTATCAAGTGTTGGTTTTGATATATATATATATATATATATATATATATATATATATATATATATATAAAATAAAAAATTAATACATTTCGAAATATCCAATGATAAATTTATTTCGTCAGGTAAGTTTTATTACTTGCCTCATCAGACCGGAATTAAGCAGGTATAAAAATCTTCTCTACTGAAATAAATTTATTATCGGATCTTTCGAGAAGCTTCTGTTTTTTGAATGTATATCATATTGCTCTGTATGCAATATATTGAGCTCTCTTCATGGATCTAACTTTCTAATATTTTATAATAAAAATGTCTACCGGGATTATCATTTCTACTTACGGACTTGATATATATATATATATATATATATATATATATATAGATAGATAGATAGATAGATAGATAGTTAGTTAAACCTAGAGAACCAGACAAACCTACCATGGTTTCACCTAAGCGGATCGTCAGGGAAGCCTGATATATATATATATATATATATATATATATATATATATATATATAGATTCTTCAATAATTAAAGAACAATTCTATTTTGTATATGCAATCTGCTTATCTTGAATCAACAGTTTATTATGCGCTTTGATTGGTGCAAAGTTCT